CTGATATGTAAGATATTTGATTTGCAACCCCTGTGAAAGGGTTGTTTGACACACCCCCAAGAGGGACCATGACCCACAGGTTGAGAACCATTGTTGTAGACTGTGTAAGGGCTCAGGGGAACAGAACATCAAAAGGCACAAAAAGCCTTACCTCCTTATCAGATGTGGACACTGAGAAATGGGGAAAAAAATCCCAGCGGGTTAGCAATAAGAGGGGCATCTGATATCAGGAGCCAGGGCCCTGGGAGTTGTGTTCCAGCAAGCCTGAGCTTACAGACAATGTGACCTAACTCTAAAACATCAGAAGTCTAATATCTCCCTTGTATCCCATAAGACTGAACTCTCAGCCATGTTTTCCAGACACATTCATCTTGACTAAAATGCTGTTTTCGAGGACCAATTGGAACCTGCATCTTAACTGCACCCTGTCTCTAGAGTAACCTCCTCTCTGTACCCTAAGAGCCTCTGCACACCCAGATAGACACTACTCATGTTTGATGAGTTAGACTTACCTGGAGCAGGCGAATGGAAACTCCGACTCAGAGAATAATTTGCTACTCACAAGGAGCCATCACTCAGAAATGTACTGGCTGGCCTCTGAGAATAAGGCTATCATCCAGTGGCTCCTGTGGTACCTAGAGATGTGAAAGCCTTCAAGATTTGAAGCCTAGGGACAATTTCTGCTATTCAACAAAGATATATCCAGTAGGGCTAAAAGCCACAGAACCCTGAATAAGATGCAAAAACCCAAAAGGGACAGGCAAACACACATTCTAATCTTCCTCTCTAGCTAGATCTCTTTCTCCATCCCTCCTTTTCTCTCTGTCTCCTGTCAATGACATGTCAATATGTTGTATTTCTTATAGACTTTGTTACTCTAAGCAAAACCTTTATCACCAGGTACTTGCCCTATAGACCAGCATCATACCATCATCCCCAGGGATGTGTTATGTGGACTAACGACATCAGCATCACAGAGAATTGCTCCGTAGACCAGCCCTATAACATCCTCAGGGATCCGGTGTTTAGCCCAGCAACACTAAAACAACATGGAAGTTCATAAGCAATGCAGAATTCCGGGCCCTATACCAGCCTAACTAAATCAGAGTCTGTGTCTTCTGATTTCTAGGGGACCTTGTTTACATTAAAGGATGAAAACTATTATTTGAAGGGAATTGAGGCTTCTGGACCCAGAGAGCTAGAAACTAATCATATTAAACGTAGTGAAAGCAAAGTAGCCAAATGTCCATAGACAAATCAGGACAGCTACCAATTCCCAAGGGCCCATGAGGTTCTAAATGTTCCATTCGGCTTCTCATCTGTGCATCGTCCCATTTTGCAAAAGTCAGAACTAAGCTTCAGACAAAATACCTTGCACAAGGCCACTCAGCCGGTGACGTTCGAGCCAATTGCAATCTATCCCCCAAAATATGAACTCATGGCTCTCCTTTGCTGAGCACAGGAACACGATTTTATTATCCAGGAAGAATGTGGGGAGGTCTCTTGGCTAGATACCAGTTGTGTTTTAGTTTGAACGTGGTTTATCTCTCCCCAAGGGTTCTTTGTGATTAGAGGGTCGGTGCTCAGGGTGATACTCTTGGAGGGTAGTGGAACTTTTGGGACACCTCCTGTAGTGGGAGCTCTGGTTTCCTTAAAAACTTAGTCATGTTATGTGAACGTGTTTTTGTTTTATTCCTAGGTGTGGGATATGGGGCTGCTTCAGATGGTCCACAAAGCAGACTTTTGGCCTCCTGCAGGCTCTGAGAAGGGTGTGATCTTTGCCAGCTGCAGATAGTTTAATCCTGGGTACTCTCAGAACCCATAGAGAGATGGGGGGTGTGTTCCAAGGAAGAAGAAGACTGCTGCTCCCCTCCTGCTGCTCCTGGATGCTGCTCCTGGATGCTGCTGTTGTAATTTGATGAGAAGAAGAAGTTGGAAATATCCTAATTATGGATATTGGACTTGCCCCAAGGAACCTGACAAGCCTAAACAGCAGGAAGTAGCCAGAAGAGAACTAGGCCCTCTCTCCTCACTAACCTTCTCCTATCTGGAACTGGGGTGTTGGGAGGAATTGGGGTGGATAAGGGAGGTAGAAATATAAGGACTCCATTAAAATAGATTTTAAAAGAAGAACACATGCCAACAAAGTCCAGATATCACAAATATACTGTTGTCATCTATTCCCACCTTCCTTTTCTTGACTTCTGTCTCCTCTCATGGAGCATCTACAAAGGGCTTATGAGGGAAATCCTCCCACCTTAATGCCTTGCACCATCCAAAGCAGAAGCGTTCCATGCAAAGAGTGTCTGACATCTCCAACTCTCTTCTAACAGTCCTATGGTCATTCTGCATAGCCAGCCAGCCCATAGACAGTGCAAAGAACTTTGTTATAACCTGAAGGTTTCCATCCTTGCAAAGTCCCTTTCCATAAAGGATGATATCAGGCAGATGAAGCCTTTGGCAAGCACTTAGGTGGTAAAGCAGGGCTCCGGGGTGGATTGGCACTGCTAGAAAGAGACCTGGATGGCTCTCTCCCACACCTTCTGGCAAGTGCGGTTGCAAGAAGTCAGCCTTGAGCAGTCAGGAAAGGTAATCTCAGCAGAGACAGGCCATGCTGGCTCTCCCACCACTCAGGACTGTAAGAACCACGTTTTTGTTGCTTTAAGTTGCTCAGCATGAGTTATATTGGGATAGCAGCTCAAAGAGACCAAGATAAATCCCCATGTCTTAGAGGATGGACAGGAACAGCTCTTCTGTAAGCAGGTAGGGTGCTCATTAAGCCTGACCTCTAGTTAAAAAGAAGACCGTGAGGGCCAGCAGTTCTTTCTGGGATAGGAACCACAGGCAAGGCTGATGGGAACTCAGAAGCAAAGAATCCTGGAAGAGAAGTAATGGGCTGGGGATGTAGCTCTGTGGTAGAATGTTTTCCTGTGTGCAAGATCTTGGGTTCAATCCCTATCATTTTAATTATAATAATTACCAAAAAGGTAACCTAGATTCCTTCATACCCAGTATTACCTTGTTCAGATACTTCTTATACAGCTTCAGACTAATGTTTTTAAAATCCAAATCTGTTCTTGTCATTGTGCCAACAAAACATTTTAAAGACTTCCTATGACCCATTCAGCCTTACACATGTGTCTGTGTCTATCTGTGTCTGCGTGTTTTTCTGTGAGTCCATCTGCGTGTGTGTGTCTGTGCCTGCGCCCCTGTCTGTGTCTGTGTCTGTGTGTATGCTTGGGAGTATTTTGTGTAGACAAGCCGAAAGTCAACATCAGATGTCTTCCTCAATTGATCGCCACCTTATTTTTTGTGACAAGATCTCTCATTAAACCTGGAATTCACTGACTCAGTTGTTTTGCTGGCTATCAAGCTCCAGGGATCCTCCTGTCTCTCTCTCCTTAGTGTTAGGGTTGAAGCATACCCTGCCCAGATTTTTACATGCACACTGGGGACCCAAATTTGGATCCCTATGGTTTCATGACAAACACTTTACCAACTGAGCCATCTTCCTAGCCATGGGTCCTACTAGCTGCAAATTCTCCCGGGCTTCTTTCTTCTCAACTCCACAAGGTATGTCTCCTCATATATCTGGGCAACAGCTAAGCACACTGGACTCTACAGTCTTGACAGCAGCATGTATGGAAAACACAGACAAAAATAAAATTGAAAACTAGGAAGGCAAGTGTTGAGATGTAGCATTCTATTCTAACCACTAAACACCCTTCACCAACAACTAATGTCACCAGTGTCTGCAAATGTTTCTCTTCGTCCTTTGCTCTGTCTCTTTAAAGCAAAAAGCAAGTGCATTCAAATGCCATGGGGAGCTGTCTACAGCACCTTTGCTGATCTCAGGAACAACACTGCTCTGGAAGCCAGAGGAAATTTCAGGATTGAAAACACTTAGGTAAGGCAAAAATACAAATTAATTAACTTGTTGCATCCTCAGTCTCAGATAACAAAAATGCAATACAGGTTTGCAAAATGAAGCATTGTTTTCTGCTGATGCCAAGCAACCATTTCCTTGCTTCCTTTCATGTTTTAATTCGTGTATCCGAAGCGACTGGTGAATTAGCACATTGCTCGCAATTGTTGGACATGACAGACGAGAAACATTTTGCAAAGTGAAATGATTTATATTATCTGAAGTTTTTACATGTGTAGGTCCAAATTCCATTAATGACAAATATGAAATATGGTTTCTATTTTTTTTTATATTGGCACCTGGCTGAACTGTGAACACTAAAATTATTTAACGGGTTTGAATGAAAATTCTCGACGCAGATGGATTTCAGTTTTGTTTAAAATAATGTCGTTTGGGCTATAGTGGCCGTTAGCGCATTTTGCCTCTTAGGCCGAGGGGTCACCCTTAGTTCCCTCGGGCCAGCAAATACTCACGTGGATGTTTTTCAAGTCAAATCGCACTGGAATTTCTTGGTTTGCACACGGAGACACTTCTTTCTTACCCACGACCTTTTGCGCATGCTCACTCACATGGGACATCAGCACTCCAGCGGGGTAACTCCTCCTCCTATCTGGTCGCTTACCTTAAAGTTCTTGCCCTATGGAAAGCCTTCCTTATGACCCCTGGCTAGGTTTTAGTCATTTAACAAACACACCCATTACCGCTGTTCTCCTCTGCCGTGTTTGCTGGTACAACATCTGCCTTCCCCAGTGGACTGTGACCTCCTTGAAAGTAGAGAACATGTCTTACTCACACCTTTGTCTCCTGCCAGGTTTACAGTCTATGCCCAGGAGCTAATGAATGGCAGAGCACAATGTGCCAGTGACCACACTGGGCTGTAACTATGCATTTGCCCCTTTCCAGATGAAACATAATCCACAGGTCAAAAGCTGGCACCAGTGAGCCACACTTGGCCTGTCGTTTGTTTAGTTTGGCAAGCAGAAAACTGTCCACCCTTCAGTTTTGTAATTAACTGTCAGCATTTAAGAACCGGGAAACTGCACTTTGAAACCCACAGTTTCAGTTTCTCCTGAAAGAGCCAAACCACAGGCAATGTGCCCTGTGTGATAACTGTGCCCTGAGTTGAGCCACAAATTGTCCCAACCCTCATTATTCTGATGGACCCCAATGATGAGACTTCACTGTCCCTCAGAAGACCAGGTCAGTGCAACAGGAATGGGAGGTGGGGCGTTCCAGGGACTATGGGATCATGAGGGCTCTGCCATCGTGGATGGACTACTGCTGCCTTTGCAGGATTGTTGAGTTACGATGGAAATGGTTCCTGACGAAAGCTCTCATGTGTGTTCTGTGTGTGTGTGTGTGTGTGTGTGTGTGTGTGTGTGTATCTGACTGTCTGTCTCTGTCTATATCTCTCTGTTTCTCTCTCCCTCTCCCTACCCCCCCTTCTTGCACTTATGCCTTTTCTCTCCATTCTGCCTTCTGCAATGGAATAATGTAGTGACAAGGTCGTCACCAGAGACCAGCACCTTGAACTTCCCAGCCTCCAGAACCACAAGAAATGAACTTAGATTCTCTGTAAACTACTCAGTCTGTGGTTGCTATTTTTGGTTCTTGAGAGTCCCCCAAATACCCAGGTGTTAAAGTCTTGCCTCCAGGGTACTGGAGAGTAAGGGAACCTTTAAGACATGGGGGCCAGTAGAAAGTCTTCAGGTGATTAAAGTCATCCTCTTGTAAGTGACTGTGAGACCCCAGTCCCTTTCTCATACTCTTTTGCTTCCTGGTCATGAGGTACATTTTGTTCTCGCACATATACCCCTGCAATGATATTCTTCCTTAACACAGGTTCAATAGCTATAGGAAGAACAGATCACAAATTGGTCCTGGCCAAAACTTGACCTTTTCTCTTTATAAGTTGATTATCTCCGATCTTTTATTATTGTTCTGGAAAGACAGTCAACACCGTGGACGATAGCAGCACTAAGCGGAGTGTAGCACCTGTTTCAGTCACTTCCCTTGAGTTCCCAAAGCACAGATTAAAGTACCATGATCAGATATTTTCCTTTTTCCTGAGCTCATGGCTCAGGTAGACTCCCTAACCCCCCTTGTAGTTTGTGTGACCACATGACTATGTTTTGACCAATGAGAATAATAATAAGGGTAACTTCCAGTCCTGGCCCACGAAAAACTTTCATTATGGGTCTTCTTTTTTTTGTTCTTTTATTTTCTGTCTGCATATTGAAACCCCAAGCAATTGAGCAACAAGGAAACAGCAGTGGCCAGGGTTTTGGAGTGACTGCATGGAGCGGAGACACACCCCTTCTGTGAGCCCAGATTATCACACTGAACTGTCCATGAATGAGTGAACAGTGAGGTAAGTCTTCTTTCTACATGAAAGCTGCAGAAATGCCAGGTGTTGTTTAATACAGTGGCTGATGCTATCCTGGCATGAGTATTTGAACTTGAGACCCTTACATAAACTCTTGGAAGGCAAAGAGAATGAGTCGTCTTCATCTACAATGTCAGGCATAGTGATGGAGCGCTAATGGCTGCTTGAAACACTTGGGTGAATGAATGAATAAGAACAGAAGGAAGCCATGGGAGTTGCAAACAGAACCAAGCTAGCTTGACCCCACAACTCTCCCAGCCCTATCATCATCAGACCTCTGTTTCACAGCAGAGATTTCTGCTCTTGAGGCTTTCCCTGTCAGCTGTGGACTTCTCTGTCTCCTTCACTCTCAAGCCCAATACCTGTGTCAAGAGGTGATCTATCAGTGGCATACAGAGATAGGCATGACATTTCCTAGGGAAATATGTTACCATGTTTTCCACTTTACTCTCCGAGTCCCTGATTCCTCTCCCTTCCCTCTTGGCTGTAGAGCATCCTAGAGACAAAACTACCTCAGACAAGAGGGGAAAAAAGGACAGCCTCTTCCTGTCTATAATGATATTTAATCAATGCTTACTCTATATCACCTTATGCAGAGCAGTGAGTGTTGGGCAACTTGTATGTTCTGCTGTCTTTTCTGGTGGTTTAGAATGAACATTTATTTTACAACTTTAAAACCCATTCATTTTCAGCTCCCCTTTAATAATCATGAATGTGGCATAAGAAGAGAAGTGGGAGGGAAGTGAGATGATACAACTCTTGCCATGAAGGCCTGATGACGAGTTCAATGCCCAGAACCTATGTATGTCTTCCAGCTTTCATACCATACATATGCTCATCCATACATGAACACACATCACACACAGTGATAATAAACAAAATAATTTTTTCTTTTATTAAATTTTTAAAAGCTTAATAATTTGATTTTTAAATTTTTTTCCTTTATTAGATTTTTCATAAAATATATCCTGATTATACTCCCCTCCCTCTACATCTCCAAGTTCTTCCTCACCTCCCCTCTCATTCTGATTCACCCTTTTTCTATCTCTTGTTAGAAAATAAACAAGCATCTATAGGATGCTTTTAATAATAAAATAAAATATAATTATATTAATATGTTTATATATGTATTTATTATATTTAGTATAATATTATAACAAAATATAATTAAAAAATAAAAACAAACAAGTAAGCATAGGACAAAACAAACAAACAGAAGGAAAGGAGCTCAAGAAAATGAATACAAATATAGAGGCAAGTCACCTTTCTTTGAATATTCTGGAATCCCATAAAAACACAAAACCTAAAAGCTATAACATACACAAAACCTTTAGGGTAAAAAAAAAACAAATAAATAAAATAATTATATTAAATTAAATTAAATTCCCTGATAGGATATTATGAGACAAAGAACCTCCAAAGACGCTATTGAGTCCCCTTCTGTTGGCCATCTTCTACTGGGCATGCAGCCTACCCTTAGAAGTAGTTTATTTCCCTAGTAAGACTCCTGTAACACTTTTTAAAAAATCTATTTTATTTGGTGTTCCTTACAGCCTTTCTTTTCCAAACCCCCATCCCTAAGTAGGAGAGAGAAGGTTAGTAGGGAAAGGGAGCGCAGATCCCTTCACTTCTCCTGGCTGTTTAGGGTTAATGGGTTCTTTTGGGGGCTCTACCAATCTCCATTAACAGCAAACAATCTCCTCCAAGCCTCTGTACCACTAAGAGTCACTCCCCATCTGTCTGCTCTAACCCACAACACCATCCCCTCTGGCCTCTCCAAGCTGCCACCGGCCACACTTCTCTTTCTGGGCTCTTGTATTTATATCCCTCAGAGTCCTAGACTGTGCCCCTCTCTGTGCTGCACAAGGCAGGACGTTAGCGGCTGGCAAAGACCATGCCCAGCAGGAAGCAATTACAAGCTGTGGGCAAACCAAAGCCCAAACTAAAATCCCACACTTGGGATTAAAACAAAGACATGTTTCCATAACACAGCTGAGTTTTTAAAGAAACCAAAATTTCTATCACAGACTCCTTTGGGAAAAAGATCTAAATTTTCATTTTCAAGTGGTTATCAATTGGAGATTGCTTATGGTGTAGGAATGAGGACATATGTTGACTTCTGTCCGTTCTAGAACCCCATCTGGTGCAGGCCCGTACAGGTCCTGTGCACGCTACTACAGCCTGTGAGTTCATATGTACATCAGCCCTGCTTTGTTTTGAAGGCCTTGTTTCCTTGGTGTCTTCCATCTCCTCTGGCTCTTACAATCTTTCCATCTTCACTCTCACAGGGTTCCCCGATCTCTGAGGAATGGATCTTATGGGGGCATCCATTTAGGGCCGAGTGCTCCAAGGTTTCTCCTCTCTGCATACTGTGTGGCTGTGGGTCTCTGTGTTTGTTCCCATGTGCTGCAGAAGGAAACTCCCCTGATGATGGCTGAGTAAGGCTCTGATCTAAGAGCATAGCAGAGTGTCGATAAGAGCCATTTTATCATTATGTCCCTTTTGTAGAAGTATTTGGTGTTACTGAGACTACTGAGTTGCTGGGTTATATAGTCCCAGGTCACTAGCAAGCAGTATCAGGTATGGGTTCCATCTCACAGAGTGAGCCTTAAGTCAAATCAGATATTGATTGATTGGTTGCTCCCATAAGCTTTGTGCCACCATCGCACTAGCAGACCTTGCAAGTGGGACACCATCGTAAATCAAAGGGGTTGTAGCTGTTTCGGTGTTTACGTTTCTTCTTTGGTAAGGTGCAGAGTGCTTTCTGGTACCAAGAATGCTAGTCAGTAAGAGGTGAAGGCTGTAGGTAGGCATCAGTTCAACCTCTCCATGAGCTGTGTAGGTGTTATTTTTCAGCAATAAAGTGTTGCCATCGGTTTCTGGAGAGCAACCTATGGCCTTTGCAACAGCCTGTGTTGTTTGAAGGATCCCATGGAACCCTTTGGCCAACAACTTGATTAGATGTAATCCATTCCTGGTCCCGAAGCCTCATTTGGTGATGACAGATATCTAGCTCGGACTCTTTCTCCCCTGTTGTTTGGGGGTTTCATTCAGATTGTCATTTACAGACAGATAGATTTATAGATATATATATGAAGCTTCAACTGTGTTAGGTGTCCATAGAACCCTCCCCAAATGACTCTCAGTTTTATCTGTCCCTCCCTATATTCTCTTCCAGCCCCACCTTCTCATCCATCTGTATATATTCTATTTCCCTTTCCTAAAATCTATCTGTCCCCTCCCACCTAGCTCTTTACTCTATACCTAAGCTCTGTAATTCTACAGAATGTAACTTGACTATCAATGACTTAACAGCTAATAGCCACATGTAAGTGGATATATATCATATCTGCCTTTCTGGGGTACCTTATTCAGGATGATCTTTTTTTCACTCTGTCCATTTACCTGTAGATTTAATTTTTTTAATGGTAGAGTAATATTTCATTGTGTAAATGTACCACATTTTCTATATCCGTTCACCAATCTAGGTTGTTTTCCATTTCTGGCTATCATGAATAGAGTAGCAACATGGTTGAGCAAGTGTCAGTATAGCAGGATTTACTGTCCTTTGAATATATGCCCCCGAGTAGTACAGCTGGATCTTGAGGTAGTTCAATTCCCAGCGTAGTCACAAATTACCTCACTGACTTCCACAGCAGATACACAAGTTTGCAATCCCACCAACACTGGATTAATGTTCCCTTTACTCCATATCACCTCCAGCATGAACTATCATTTGTTTGATTGGTCTTAGTCATTCTGACTTAAGATGAAATCTCAAAGAAGTTTTTATTGGAAATTCCTCGAGGACTAGGGATGTTGAACAATTCTTTAAGAGCTTCCCAGTCTTTTAAATTTCTTCTTCTCAAATTCTCTGTTTAGATCTCTATCCCGTTTTTCAATTTGGTTATTTACTTTATTGATAGTCAGGCTTTTTGAGTTTTTTTTTAATCTATTTTAGAAATTAACCCTCTATTGATGTGTAGTTGGTAAAATCATTTCACATTTTGTAGGCTTCTGTCTAGTCTGATGGTGTCCTTTGCTGTGCAGAAGCTTTTCAGTTTTATGAGGTCCCATGTATTAATTGTTGATCTTAGTGCTTGTGCCATGGTGTTCTGTTCAGAAAAACATTTTTCCTGTGTGAATAAGTTCAAGGTTAACGCCCACTTTCTCTGCTCTCAGATTCAGTGGATTATGTTGGTATTATATTGGGATTATTTATCCACTTGGAGTTAAATTTTGTTCAGGGTGATAAGCATGGATGTTCTACATTCTTCTATATATATTGATCTAGTTTGACCAGGACCATTCGTTGAAGATGTTGCCTTTTTTTGCAGTGTGCATTTCTGGCTTCTTTATCAAAAGCAAGTGCCTCCAGTTCAATTTCATTGACTACTGTGTCTTTTTTTGTGCCGATACTATGCTGTTTCATTACTATAGCTTTGTAGTACAACTTGAGATTGGCAATGATGGAAGATACCTCCAGCTGTTCTCTGATTATTCAGGATTGTTTTAGTCATACTGGGATTTTTATGTTTCCACATGAAGCTGAAAAATCAACCTTTCAAGTTCGATGATGAAATGTGTTGGAATTTTGATGGAGATTGCATTGACTGTGTATATTGATTTCGGTAGGGTGGGCATTTTTACTACATTAAGCCTACCAATTCAAGAATATGGGTCATATTTCCATCTTCCGATATCTTATTTAATTCCTTTCTTCACTGACTTGAAGTTGTTATACCAGTCTTTCACTTGCAATGTTAGAGTCACCGCTAAGATAGTCCCTACCTCTCCTGATCAGTTCTGTTTTGAAGTGTGTTTTGTCAGATAGTAAAATGACTATGCCAGCTTGCTTCTTAGGTCCGTCTGTTTGGACTATCTTCTTCCATCCTTTTACTCGTAGGTAATGTCTATCATTCATGTTAAGGTGTGATTTATGGATGCAGCGGAAGTTATGGATCCTATTTTTACATCCATGTTGC